TTTTTATTATTTATTGTTTAGATAGGAAGTGGGTACCACATCACTCTTGTTGTGTCATTTTGAGCAGTTATTTTAATTGTTTTATGCTATTTTATGTGTTAGTCGCCCTATAAGGGTATAATTGTCTTTGTACTCTTTATTATTTATAACTATAAATAATAGTGAAGGGGGCGGCCATCATTATTACTCTCTTTTCTCTCTCAAATCTCTTCTCTTTCTTTTCTCCTTTCTAATATTCTTCTTCAAGAAATATTCTTTTCTTTTACAGATTTTTTATTTCAACACCTTTCTACTCTTGCTTTTAAGTACTTATTAGTGTTTGGGAGGTTTTTCTCAAACTGCTTATTCTTAAGATGATTACTTATTTGTATTAAAGTTTTTGGTGAGTGGCTTATCCCACAAGTCCTTATTTTTGTGAAAATGACAATTATAGTCCTGACTTAACATAAAAATGGAGTGACTTTATTCTTGTTTGTTAAGAAGAATGGAAAACGATGTGGAAACATTGACCTGGTTGCCAAAGTTGAAAACAATTTAAAAAAAATGGAAAACTGATATGGGTGAGGTGAGAAATATGAAAAAAGGAAAAAAAAAAGAGAGAATATGGGGTGAGATTGAAACTGTATGAGGGTGAAATTACCCAATTATTGGTGTTGCAATTATGAAGGTGAGTTGGGGGAAAAATGATAAGGTTTCTAGAAAATTGCCATTTAATTTCTTTTTTCCTTTTAAGTATTTAGCTTTTGGCACTTTTACTCATAAATTTTCAAGATTGGTAAAGAATTTCCAAGCTTGTTTTGCCAAAATAACCAAGTTAAAGTTATAGGAATCTCTCTCTTAGCCCACCCTTGAATTTTTTTATTACAAAAACCATACCCTACTTAGCTCAATTTGTTTTATTTTCTCCTTTCATACCAGTCCACTAAAAATTTCTCTTATTTTCCCAATTTCTTCACATAAACCCTTAGGTAGCAAAAAACAAGACATAGCATAAGTCAGGATCATAGTGATACCAACTTTTAGCATACTTCCTTACAAGCCAAAGACAAGGTCCCTCTCCAGATCCCAATTTTCTTTTCTACCCTATCCACTAAATAATTAAAAGCACTCTTTAATTTTTTTGATTTGCTAAACTCAGGAGGAATTGTTATTAAAAAAATCTATAATTTCTATAAATTCACCTTTTTTCCTTATTAGAACCTACGTAACAAAAACAAATAATCTCAACATGGTGGCGGATTTGCTGCATTTCAACCTAAAGACACGACTTTAGATTGATCGACTTGTCACTCTACCAGATTTTTTTGGTCTATTTCACTCCAAACCACCCCTCTCTCTCTCTCTAAATACCATTGACTTGGTCAACAACCCAATAATTTGGTCGATTGAATCACTAAATCATTTGGCCCAGTTAATGGGTCACAATTTAGACATGTACGCTCTATATTTGTTTTTTGGTATTTTTACTCATTTTTACCCTTAATAACAATAATTCTCATTTATTATACATGTTTTTGTTTAATATGATGAATATATAATATTAGAAATATGCCCAGTTTTCTATTAAATTTATGAAATCACAAATTGACTTCTCTGACTTGAATGGTTAAATTGTTGACCTATCACCATGAGGGAAATGCAGTTCCAATTAATTTTTAAAATGTTATTTAAGTTTTAGTAGTATTTCCAACCCATAGTCAAATTGGCTACTTAAACCAGTTGACCCCCACCCACCACGTACTACCCACCACAATTTTGAGTCCATTCCACCACTAGACTGCTTACTTGCAAAAAGTAATTGTCAATTAATGACTTAGTGACCCAATCAGTTGAACTGTTGAATTGTTTGACCTAGTTAGTGGGGTTATGGGTTAGTAGTTCTCTTATTTTCTTAATCTTTTTTTGTATATCATTTTCATTATCAATAAAAAATTCTTATTTAGAATAGTTATTTTTGTTTAACATGAACATATAATATTAGAAATGTATCCAATATTTTCTACAAAGTTTCTATATTTTTTGTGTATTTTAACTATTTGTTACATTTTATTTTTTTAATTGTAACATCATGAGTTAACCCATTTGATTCATATGGTTGAACCACCAATATTCCACCTTGATTTAAAAAATGGTTTCATTTCTAGGTCGGTTTAAAAAAACAATGTTTTTATACTAGGTAAATTGTTGAAACCTCCCCTAAAGCATGTTTTTTGAATCGTTGTTGACCCAGACGGTTGGACCGTTCGGCTCGGAAACTGTTTAGGCAACCAATTCCATTTTACCCAAAACCCGGTCCCTAGCAAAAAATCGTTGAATCGGTCAATGACCTGTTGACCCAGGTGGTCAAACCATCGACCCGTTCAATAGTTTTTGGTCATTTTTTAATTTTAATTTTTTTAATTTATTTTGTCAGAATGGGCCATCCGTTCGGATTGGACAATCGAACCATTTTTTAATTTAAAACATTGCCCTGATGTTTCTAACTATTATTGAAACCTCCCCTAAAGTTTGGTAATTGTAATCACCTTCCTTAAATTTTCTAACACATTTGCAAGGAAACCACTTCTATTAGAATCCTTTAACAAGAGGCATGAAAATATCCAAAATACCCATGTAATTACTTTTGGCCAACAGGAGAGGATTCAGCAATGGTCAGAAAGGGGAGGTTTCAGCAGCACAATTTACCCTTATAATTATGGGCCATAGAGTTAATTAGTGGACAGTGAGAAACAAAATGACTTAAACGCAAGAGTTAATGATGCCTTAAATGTAAGAGTTAATGAGAAATAACAGAATAAACTGAAAGTAGTATTTCAAATTAGGTTTTATGCCCCTCACAATAAATAGGGTATTTCAATCAAAAAAAAAAAAAAAAGAAAAAAAATCCAAAACCACTCAAATGTCTTATATGTGTTACTTTATATTATGCATGTATGTATGTGACAATAATACATATTATATACAGTATTTTATATTACATAAAGTATGATATATTATTTCACATTTTTATTTTTTAATTATGTATAACATTGTGAATTAATCCATTTGATTTGGATGGTTAAACCACCAACCTAGACTGAAAAAAAATGGTTTCTTATTCTAGGCCAGTTTAAAGAGCATTATTTTTCCATACTATTAAAACTATGGGGCATAGAGTTAATTATGGACAGTGGGATTGTTTTTCCAATGCTTAGAGGTTAGGATTGTTCTAAGGATTTTTTTTTTCTTTTTAATAGTCAGAATTTAAATTCATTGAATGCTGCCTAAAAAAATCTTAATTTATTTCTCCAAATCAACAAAAAAGATTGAAAGGGATAAAATAGTAAAACTAAGTAACATACCAATATTTTTTGTAATATTTTGAGGACAAACGTGAAAAGTGAAAAAGGTTAAGAAAAAAGAGGTAAAAATGCACTAAATAAAATTATTATATTATAACTCTAACTTCTTAACATTAGCAACCAAGGATTGAAATGAAATACAACTTGCTAACTAGTTCCAGAAATGAGATATTTAAATGAGATTTTTTCATAAAATACCCCTCTCGATAGGTTAAAATTTCTCCTCTTCTCATTGCGGGATAAATAATAAAAGCCAAAGACCAATTCTGTACTTCTATTATTGTATAGTATCTGGATGAAGAGAGGACAAAGGAGATGGTTTGATCATTCATTACATCATTTTGGCTGTATTTGGTTTGAAAGAAAAGGTTGGGAAAGCCAAGCAGAAGACGTTTGTGTTGATGGTGCGACATTTTGTCACCAAATGATACATAATATCTTTCATACATATGTTAAATTTATGAAGAAATATTGACCGGATTTCTATATTTATTAAGAGTATTTAGAGTTTTTGTTTGCATCACACGTGTTCAAATCAATCCCCCACAAGACAGTGCTCCATAACATCTCACAGCACATTCCTGCCGTGTATTGGAAACATCTCCAGATGATGACATCATCATTTTTGGTATTATCATTGGGAGATGTTCTATAGGGAAAATTCTATTGTGGGGCACAGTCTTGTGGGGGGCTGATTTAGTCTTGCATCACACAAGTGAATCGATGTGCTACAGGGAAAATTCCATTTCAATATCCTGAACTTTGAGGGTAGTGTCAAGTTAGTACCTGAATTTTCAAACATGCCAGTGCAGTACCTAAACTTTCAAAAATGTCAAATTGGTCCCTGTTGTTAACCAACCGTCGGTTATCTGCTGAAAATGTCAAAACTACCATTATAGACACTGTTCATTGTCTTTTACCTTGAGACTGAACCGGTTGAGGTGTTTGAGATTCTAGACTAATGAAGTCATTGTCTTCTACCTTTAGATCTGAAACACATTATTGTGTAGTTATTTCTTTGCTTTCAATTATTGTTTCCCTTTATCATATTTTATGTTTTTTTTATATCTTTTTCTTTAAAAATAACTGGTTCAGCCTCAAATTAGAAGACAATGAACAGTGTCTTCATTTTGAAAGATAATTTTGACATTTTCAACAGATAACTGACAGTCAATTAACAACAGCAATGACCAACTTGACACTTTTTGAAAGTTTAAGCACTGCAGTGACACTTGAGACTACCCCCAAGTTGAGGTGGTGGTTTTTTCGAATCCTCCTTTTACTTGATATTTTTTCTCATTGAGGCTTAAATATTTTTAAGCCTCGAAAATAATTATTTTCATTTATTAATTTGTTTAAGAAAAAAACACTTCGTGATTGTTGGGGGTCAACTGGTCGGCCAACATCTCTGAGCCCACAGATTTGTCGTGGTGTATCTGAGTCTGAGTCCATAAATTTCTCCAGGTTCCTTGATCGATTCATTATGCCTTGTGTAATCTCTTTTTCTCTCTTTCCAATCAAAACTATACCAAGTGTGCTTCTTGCAATGGAGCAATAACCACACATCTTGAAGTCTTAAAAAACTATCTCCTTAATTGCATGCCTTCTTTATCCTCATCTGATGAATTAAGAGTATCTCTATCTCTCTAGATAGATAGAGAGAGAGAGAGAGGATGGGGATGGAGTGGGAGAAAGATTCATCTTGTTGGGTACGTTCATCTTGGTCTCCTAAGCTCCTTCTGGTTGTAGTTTCTTTGCCTTTCTTACTTGGGCTTGTTTGTATAGTTGGTTCAAGAACCTCTACTTGGGTTTCTTTCTCTTATCATCCATTACTCTGGGGAGCTAGTATTCCTTCTTCTTCAAATATAGCAACTACTGAATCTACAACGAGGATGACTGGTTTGTCAACTGAGGGAGGTGATGAGAAACATTTGGAAATGCATCCGAAGGTGGAGAGTGTTTCTGTCTTCAATCAATCTTCTTCACCACAGATGATTTCAGAGATTTTTCAAGTCCAACGACCTGTAAGAGTCTCACACCCTTTACCTTTTTCTCATGTTTTAATGATCATATAACTTTACACGGATTTTTTTGAACTTCACCAAGACGTTTCTGTGCGTGTGCTTGCTTCTGCTTTCCTTTCTCTTCACTCTTCTTTCTAGTCCCGTATTTGAAAGTTCTTATTTCTTGAATTTCATAAATATCTGTCAGCTTCTACATGTTTTCCTGTACAAGATTATAGTATCTGCAGAATAGAAATTCAAAAATATATCTTCAGAATCTTTTTTCGTTACTTTTTTTTTTCAATTCTTTTAGTCCTCGGCTACACAACTAGGGTTAGCCCATCCCCCGAACCCTGGTGCAAGTCGGATTCGATCTCAAGCCTTACCAACCAATCAGTTGGTACCTTTCTTTTTCAAAATTCTTACTTCTTCCTTTTTTTTTCCATATCATGTATAGTGTATCCCATAAATAAATTGTTGTTGAAAGTGAGGGTTGGGAGATGGGATTCCTATCATTTTCGATTATTATAACCAATCAACCAGCATCATAAAAGTGGTAATCAATGAGATGGATTTTTCCACAATTTATTGGGGTTTTGATTGGTCAAAGCCTTTTCAATATTATATCTTTTCTGTATCATAGATTTTTTATTATAATATGATATATATAATACATATCGTAATACATATATAATATATATTTTTTATTATTATAATACATATAATACATATTATAATATAGATTTTTTATTATTATAATATGATATATATAATACATATTATATATAATATTTGTATTATGTAAAGTATAACATAAATTTTATACATATATAAATATATTATATGCCTAAAAGCCCGGCTCGGCTTGGTTTGGGTCTGTATAGGCCCGGACTCTGGCTTATAGTTTTCGATCGAGGTTGACCCATCTAGTTCATCCATGTGATTGTGATTGGCCCAACCCAACATGTGTTCATGGTGGTTGGAGCAACCTATCTAATTTGCTCAGAAAAACTTCACGAAGGTGCTACCTTGCCATCGAATTTTTCAGTTCGGGCCTGAACCCACAGACCGATTGTGGTTCAGGCTGAGACTTGATCCAACTTGCAATATATTTCTATATTATGGTTCAATTCTTGAGGCTCAATTTGTAAATAGTATAAATATAAATATGTACAATACAAATGTATATAAAAATAATATAAAATATAAGGTTTTGTATTCTACATATTTGTATTTGTACTTCTTCCAAACTAAGCCTTACATATTTGTATTTGTATTCCTTCTAAACTGAGCTTAAGGCTGTATTTGGTTGCAATAATGTAAAACCATGGCAGTGCAAATGATTTGAGTGTAAATTCTGACCTATTTTTGTTTCAACTTTTAGCTTATTTTGTTTGATTGCAGTGCAAATGCAGTAAAATAAGACATGAAGTAGAATAAAGTAAAATCCAAAACAAAATTAAATAAGAATTTGCATTTTCTACATTTGCACTCCCATGCATTTGTACTAGTGCAATTAAATTTGCATTGCAACCAAACACAACCTAAATTTGCATTATAAATAAATAAGGCTGTGTTTGATTGCATTGTAAATAAATTTGCATTGATGCAAAACTATGTTAGTGCAAATGATTTGAGTGTAAATTCTCATCTATTTTTGTTTTAAATTTTAGCCTATTTTGTTTGATTGAAGTACAAAAGAAGTAAATTAAGACCTGAAGCAGAATAAAGTAAAACCTAAAACAAAATTAAACGAGATTTTACATTCTTTTCATTTGCACTCTCGTGCATTTATACTAATACAAATAAAATTGCACTGCAACGAAACATAGCCTAAGGTACAATATGGACTGAGTTTAAGATCAAGCCTAATTTGTCCATCCAAGGCTTAGCCCATATTAAAATTTAATACATGTGTTTATGCATGTATGCAAATAAATATTTATAAGTATATGTTATATATAGTTGGGCTAGGCTCAAATTAAGCGTATTGAGATGATGTTTGACTAGCTTGGGCTACGTAAAGCTAGGCCATGGTTCAGCCCAAAAACTAAAAACAAAAAATCCTGATATTTTGGGCTCAGTCCTAGTCCAAAGAATGAAAATCCAAGGCTAACTTGTATAAAATTCCGGACTGGATGTATCTGGGCTTGGATTGGGCCCACCCATATTATACGCTTACGTATGTGGGTGGAGGGGTGGGGGTAGTCAGTCTTTAAAGAGAACTGTAAGGCCCACAAAAAATGCATTTTTTATTGGATAAATTTTTGGGCCATTTCTTCATGTAAGTGTTTCCCTTCTCCCGAGTGGGTAAATCATTTTTCATGGAGGGAAAAGCTACCCTAATTGTTGTGGAACAAAAATTCCCCTACCAAAGACAGAAAAACCCAAGGGCAAAAGTGATAATAGAGAAAAAACACAGTTTGATTTTTGATTTTGGTATATTCATAAAACTTAAATCATAGCATCATATCATATAACGTTAATTTTTTATATTTTCACTGTCTTATTTCTATTTGTACATGTGCCCCTAAACTTATTATATAAAATAAAATGTACCAAATTGGAAAAAAAAGTCCAAAGTGATACATAAACACAAAGAAATTATACTTTAAGTGATTATGATAGGAAATTACTTTTTAACCATTTTGATTTCAGCGAAGTAATTATGTTATTACACTAGCAACGAGAGATTTATTACTTCTTTTAAATATTAAAAAATTACTTTCTTCCAATGCGGCGTAAAGATAAACAAATATATAATATATATATATATAGCCTTAAATTTATTGCATTGGCCCTACCAATAAAGGTGTATTGACCCAAATGCCTCTGGAGGCAGAGAGAGGGGGAATTGGTATGTTGTCGTTGCCTCAACAATAAAATGTAATGCTGCAACGATGCGATTCATTTAAGTAGCATCTTCGGGGCATTTTGGTAATAAAGATGAATAGGTGTATAATTTAGGGGTGAAGGTTTTACTTGAAATTGAATAAAACCGATTATGAATTGTTTTTTAACTGACCTTATCCAATTTGTTATAGGGTAGGGTTTAGTTCCAAATTCTTGAAATCGACCTCCACCCAGGCTAGTTCTAGGGTCTAGGGTCTATCCTACATGAACCAATTAAATGAAATGGCCTTTGTTGGCTTACGTGGAACTTGCCTTTGAACCAAATTTGCCTTGAAATAAACCCCAAAATACTTTTTGATATGTGACTATTTGAATCCAAGCACTCGTGATTACAAAGGCCGTGGTCTCACTTAGCCATTGAGTTATTTTCAATGTAACAATTGAATGTGTACAACAATTAATGCAAAAGTTAAAATTTACAAAATTTAAATTTAAATGATAAGTTTTGAAGTTTGAACCATATAATGATAATCTATATATTAAATTAATCAATTTAATCAATAAAGATAATATAAGTTTTAAACGATATATTATATTTATCAAAAACCAAGTTTTTAAAAAATGTTTCTTTTTTTTTTTGAAAATGAATAGTAAAGAAATAACAGGTTCCACAAGCAAACATTGGAACCGAACCTAGAACCAACCTTCAAAGGGTATGTTCCATTCCAAAAACTTGGAACAGACCCTATAGGGTGGGTTCCGGTTCCAAAAACTTGGAACCGGCCCCTATAGTGTAAGTGCCAAATTCTGCTATAAAGCTGAACCGAACCGATCCATGCTCACCCCTAAGTGTGTTGACCAAAATGCCCCCAAAGTTTTTTGTTCAATAACTGAGCTTCAATACACTGTGTTGATGTGACGCTTGAGTAGCATATCCGTGCTTGTGCTACGAAGGATAAAAATTGATGCTAAGCTTTGTGGTAAGGGTGTTAATGGACCAATTTTGAATTGAACACTTGGATTTCATCCAAATCAAAATCAATTTAAACAGATTGGACATAAAGACCAATAAGACATATTGAATTGGACCTGGTCATCCATAATGAATTTATATCGGATTGAATTGGATTAAACCAATATCTGATCCATTGAAGAAGATAAGAATACAAGTGTCAATGGACCAGGTTTGGGTTGGAACCAATCTAAATTAAAATCAATTTGAACAAGTTTGATGGTCCAGACATTAAATTGGATCGGTCCAAAATCATCCAAAGTATTAATTGGATTCGATTGGACCTGTTCCATCAGTAATGGGTTCATTTTTGGACCGGATTGGATTGGACCAAATCCGGTCCAATTGACACCCCTACTTGGTGGCACAACACTTGATCACCAAATGTTTTCCTTCTTTTTTTTCCTCGCACCAACCAAAACTGCCCATGTTATGGAAGTGACAACGGACGAGAGAATGAGAGAATGAAGGATTGGGACAAGGCTTTATTTTGTTGGGCACCTTCATCTTCGTCTCCTAAGCTCCTTTTGATTGTATTTCCTTTGGTTTTCTTATCTGGGCTTCTTTGTATGGAGGGTTCGTCAGGAACCTCTACTTGGTCTGGTTATCCATTGCTCTGGGGTGCCGGTACCCCTTTTCTTCATCTTTTCCTGCAACAAAAATAACAACCACTGAAACTACACCTATTGCTCTTCAATGAGACTGCCTTGTTCTTCGACTGAAGAAAGTGAGAGACATTTGGAAATACATCCAAAGGCGGTTCCTCTTCATCATGTACAAGAAACTCATTGGTCTGAGATTTCTATTTTCAATCAATCTTCTTCACCACAGATGGTTCCTGCAGAGATTCTTCAACTCCAATCACCTGTAAGATTCTTAGTCCCTTTACCTCTTTTTTCCTTATTCTTATATCGAACGACCCGTGAGAGACGCTTGTGCTTTTCCTTTCTCTTCTCTACTCTTCTTTCTTGCGTCGGGTTTAAACGCTGGATTTGATATATTATGCCATTTCATTCATTTTTTTTCCCTTCAGCCTGTTTGTTTGCTGTTCAAATCTGAGCGCACCCGTTTTAGTTTTGTATCCGGTTTGTCTGTAATTACTAACTTGTAATCTTATCTATGCAAAATTTATTGGTAGCCCAAAATTTGCATCGCAAAAATTAATTAAAACAAAAATTTAACCCTTTCCTCCTACCTCAATTCTCTCTCATATGAATGGGGATTTGACTATATGCACTGCAAACTGCAAACAAACCCTCAACCCAACTACTATGTCTGTCTTTTTTATATTGGTTTTTCTTACTATTTGTCATGGTATTGAATTTTACCCTAAAAAAAACAAAAAAAGAATTCCACTTCATTGTATATACTAAACCATTAACCATTTTTTTGGTAGGATGAAAGAAATCAAGAGGGTCTGAGGATCCCAAGTGATCATCATGGGCATGATGTTGCTCCCGCAGTAATGAAGGAGGCGGGGGAAGATAGCAAATCTGCAGAGAGGCTTAATGGGTCTGGTGTTGCTCCTATAATCATGAAGGTGGCAGAGGAAGATAGCAAATCAGATAGGATTAATGGGTCTAATGTTGATCCCGTAATCATGAAGGTGGCGGAAGAAAATAGCAAATCAGAGAGGATTAATGGGTCTGATGTTGCTCCCACAATTATTAAAATGCAGAAAAATCATACCCAACTAGAGAGGTTGGAAGCAGGTCTAGCAAAGATTCGGGCTGCAATAAGAGAAGCTGCTCATCAGAAGGGGAATCAAACTTCTGACTTCGATTACGTTCCAGAAGGTCCCATGTACTGGAATGCCCAAGCCTTTCACAGGTACACCACATTCATCTTTCTGGGTCATCTCTCTGTCTCTCTCTCTCTCAAAATCACAGGGTTGTTTTCAATTGCAGGAGCTATTTGGTAATGGAGAAACAGTTCAAAATCTTCATCTATGACGAAGGAGAGCCACCGTTGTTCCATGATGGTCCATGTAGAAGCATATACTCCATGGAGGGAAACTTCATTCACCAGATAGAGATGGATAAACGCTTTAGAACCAGAAATCCTAAAGAGGCTCACGCTTTCTTCCTTCCCTTCAGTGTCACAAAGATGGTTCGGTTCGTCTATGTGCCCAACTCCCATGACATTGGCCCCATAAAACAAACGGTGATCGATTATGTCAACCTCATCGCTGGAAAATACCCATACTGGAATAGGAGCCTTGCCGCCGATCACTTCATGCTTTCTTGCCATGATTGGGTAAGATATTCTTGCTTTGTGTAGATTAGGCTAGTAAGACGGCTTTGACTCAGTCATCCGATCAAATGTGTTTGATGTATGGCTGAGAGAGATAACAACTTAACTTCTCTCATTTCTGACAGGGGCCACTAACATCTTCCTACGTTCCACATCTATACAAAAATGGCATCCGGGTTCTGTGCAATGCAAACACCTCGGAAGGATTCAACCCAGCCAAAGATGCATCCTTCCCGGAAATCAATCTCAGAACCGGAGAAACCAAGGGATTCATCGGCGGGCCATCCCCTTCCCGTCGTCCTATACTCGSATTCTTCGCCGGAGGGCTGCACGGTCCCATCCGACCAGTTCTGTTAGAACACTGGAAGAACAAAGATGAAGATGTAAAGGTATATGAGTACCTCCCGAAAGGTCTGTCGTACTACGACATGATGAAGAAGAGTAAGTACTGCATCTGCCCAAGTGGGTATGAAGTTGCGAGCCCGAGAATTGTGGAGGCAATCTATGCAGGATGTGTTCCTGTGTTGATCTCAGATCATTACGTCCCACCATTCAGCGATGTTCTGAACTGGAAATCCTTCTCGGTAGAGGTTCCAGTGAGCGAAATTCCCAACCTGAAAAGAATTTTGTTGAGCATCTCTACAAGGCAGTACATAAGAATGCAGCGAAGAGGGCTCAAGGTGAGGAGGCATTTCGAAGTGAACTTCCCACCTAAGAGGTTTGATGTCTACCACATGATTCTTCATTCTGTCTGGCTTAGAAGATTGAATGTTCGAATTCACGACTTACAATTACAATCATAGCTCGCGGACTCTGAAATCCATTAATGTGCATTAAAAAGGATCAGAAAATGTTGTCAAAATAATACTTGAAATGTTTCAGTCAAGGAGCTAGCCTTATGATGTTCTATGTACTGTGAGTGGGAGATTGAAGCACAACAACTAGCAAACAGACTAATCAAACCAACTAAGAACCAAAGAAAAAGCAGAGGCATTTTTCTAACTTTTCTGAAATCCATTATGGGGTAGCACCAAATCATTGATAATGAGCCTGAATACAGATGCTAAATCATGAGTAACACGATTCCCACTCCGGGGAGGAAAAGAAAAGGTTAGGCCCAATCGTTTTGATAAGAGTAACAGCTCTCTGAAAATGAAAACCACCTCTTTGCTTCAATCTTCTATACCAGCTGCAAAAAAAACTAATAATAATCTTGTTGTCCAATTCAATAATACAAATCCTGGCATTCATCTTCTCAGCTAACTGGTTGGCTTCAAGCACAGCTAGAGAATCGGCTTCCAACAGAGAATAGTAAGCTAAGCAAGAAGCCGAGCTGGAGCCTGGAGGTACCCAAAAAGATAAGCGATCGTTTTGAATCTTTTGATCATCCTGTAGTCTGACTGAGGAACTTTGAGAATTCAAATAGAGGCAATATAAGACATCAATGAGAGCATTTAATCTCCTGACAAAGTTGAAATGTTCATAAATGAGCATTCAATCTCTTAAGTCACAGTTGAAATCTTCATAAATGAGCATTTAATCTCTAGTTGTTCTGTGAAATTCCTTGAGCTTTATTTGTTTGCAGTACAATTTCATTTACACTGCATAGAAAGTACTAGCAAAATAAAATAAAACCCATTAAACAAATTTTGGACTCAACAAATCTCTCTCTCTCTCTCTATTCTATCAAACCATGGCCTTGTTCTTTTGGAATTTTCTGACCTTGCTTCGAGCTTGGAGGTTAGATCCCTGGTCTGGTCTGGTCTGGTCTGGTCTGGTCTGGTCTCCACAATGTCTTTACAAATTTAGAATTCAAAAGCTAGATGAACTAGCTAGTTTCTGAGAGGAAACATTAAAGCCAAGTCTATGGTGGGTCCTGAAACCGAAGCCATGCCCAATTCCTCTGGGCAAATATATACCATGCACCTGTTTCAGGGTGGGATGTACTGTACACTGAAACAGGCCACTTGGGCATGGAAAAGCAAAAGCTAAGACCAAAGTTGAAATCAAACAAAGGGACATGACCCAGAAGTCCAAGTAAAGCTCAAGTAATTAATGTCCTGATTAAAAAGAATGACTTCATAGAAAAGAAGTATTGAACTTCAATATTATTTTTTTTATGAATATTGAGCTTCAATATTATTAATTAGCAAGCTAATTACATGATTACCAAACTTAAACATCCTAATGACAGAAAAAAAAGGTAGAAAGACTTAAGCTCTCTAAACTTAATCTGGAACAAACAGAAAAAAGAAATCTAGCAATCAGCATGAACTGTTAATCTCTGGGCTATGAATTTGTCACAATTTGTAGCCTTGAGCACTTTCAGATGCATCAATAGAACATTTCTCTTTTCCTAGACATGCCTGCAAAAAACAGGTATAAAACACAACAAAAGTTGGGAAAAAGCTAGTAACAATTATCAGAAATCAAAATGAAAGTAGAAATGCAAATGTGTGCGTTGGGAAAGAGATATTACTTTCTCCACAAGAGATAATATATCATTGTTAGCCTCACAACATCCCTTGGCAAAAGATCCACATATGCCTTGTGGATCACCAAAACCAGCAAATCGAATTTGGCTAAAGGTTCGACCAGCCTGGCATGTCAGCTCCAACTTATTTCCTTCACAGACATTAGCACATGCTGTTCCAATAGTAACTGTGTTGAAGTTCACTGAAGAAGGATTGCCACCCATCTCTTCAAACAAGATCAATGTGTTTCCATCATCCCGGAGGAAAGATCGTGGCACATGATACCTAATGAAATTTGTAGAACTCTGTAAGAGCTTAATTTTTCTAAAACAATACAAAACAATCAGACCCACTTCTGCAAAGCCATTTATCATACTATCTTTGAGTTGGCTTGCCACATTGAGTCAAGCACATCGAACTAGAGTAGGTTCCACGATAGTCGCAACTGTCACTGCAATCACCATTCTCAGCAAGGAACTTTGGCCAATATCTCCCAATGCTTTGGCCATTCACCCAAGCATGCCCCTTATCCATACCAAGTAAATCCACAACAAGAGGGTCTGTTCCCAAAGGAGCATTGAAGGTTGTCTGATGAAAAAAGGAAACTTCAAAAATTAAAATTTGCTTTGAAATGAGACTTGTAATGAAACTGCAGAAATATGCAGGTAACCATGGTAGAAGTAGAACAATGAAAGCATACCTTGTACCAAGTCGTCATTGTGTTTGCAGGAAGAGTTTCTCTGTTTCTGTGTGCCACTTAATACTCTGACTTGACAAATCACTGTAAATTTTATGATGCTCACCATTCAAGCTAACCTTATACTTCCACTCGTTTGATGAAAGATCCATAACTATTTCCTCATTTTTCTTCTTTCCAATCAAGTTAATTGGACCAAGTGTCCCAGCACAGGTACAGTATCGAAGTGGCCCCCATAATTCTACTCACAAAAAGTTGCAGAATGCAGAAAAAGTAAATCAATTTTTTGGGTTTGAGAAGGGTTTTTGAGTAGACAGTCCAACAAGAATTTTCCAGGAAAAGAAGTACCAGTAATCTAACTGTAGCACTAAGCAGTGAGATTTGATTGTTTCTCCAACAATCAACTCAACCTTTTGCTCAAAGACGAAGTTGTAACGTCCATGTTGAGCCCATTGGCATCCTAAGTTCAACCAAACGAAATTAGATAATAGAAGAAGAAAAGATGGAGCCATTTTTTATCAAACATCTGGTTAACAAAGCAACGACTGAAATTACCTACATACTTTCCATTGAAATAAGCATGAAGGACATGACTGATGCATTAGTCTAACATTTTCCATCGGGGAAGGTGATGGAAGAGAGGTTTTGTCGAATTTCTCAAAAGTTCAGGGGAGGTTTTTGTATTTTACTCAAAAATAAAACTCACCAGCCAGTCAAATTCTCAGTCCACATATTGTTTGGTTTAATCTGTTAAATCTGTTCATAAAAAGGAAGTACAAAATCAAGTTTATAATCATAGATTAATTACTTGATTAATTAATTGAAGCAAATAATGATAATTAATTAACTAATATAAATTAGAAAATTAAATAAAAGAATGTAAAAAATAGCAGATTAAAAGGGTACCCAAAATTCCACTCTGCACAAACGTAAGGCCCAATGCGAAGAACAGCATAAAGTCCTGCACTTTGGACAGTTCTGAGGAACCAAATAAGTTCAAAATTCCCTGAAAAATCATACTGGAAGTCTGGAAGAAAGAAAAAAAATATATTAAATTTATACAATAATAAAATTTAATGAAAAACTGAAAATAATATTAAAAAACAAAATTAATAGAGAACTGAGAACCTCACTTCCACGAGGCTCATGGGCACTCCAAAACACGTAGATCTCTAATTGCATCAAGCCCACCCTCCTTTGCTTTACTAATCAAATCCGGCCACATCTGGAATTAAATCAAAAGCAACAATGAAAAAAGTATATATATATATATATATATTAAAAAGAGAAATATTATTATTTAGGGAAAATTGTATATTAGTATCTTATAGTTTAGGCCTAATTTCATTTTGGTCCTCGAATTCTAAAACGTATTAATCTAGTACTTAAACTTTTAAAAAACATACGAATTTAGTATAAAACCTCAACTTTCAAAACTCAATCTGTTGCTTTGGTTCAATCTTTATTCTTGAGGAAGAAGATGATAAATAGTGTAAAAGGATAATTTTGATATTTTCAAAGTTTTAAGTCACACATGTGTCATCACTTGATAGAGATAATTGGCACGTTTTAGAAGTTCAAGTACTAAATTGATCACATTTAAAAGTTGGGGGACTAAAATAAGACTAGACCCAAATCAAATTCTCTTTCCCGGAATGGTGAGACTAACAAGAAGTGAAGAGCGAGATAATTTGGATGGGCGCATCTTTGTTCATTTGCTTTCTTGTTGAAGCCAATTGGAGAARGCGTCAAGCCTCAAGGGTCATCATGTCCGCTCTGTAATGCTTCTGACTAAATTCAAGCAACCTCGGCCATGCTGAGGAAATATTCTGTCTTTGAATAAAACATGTCAAAAGAGGGAGATGGATGAAATGAGTGGTTGTGCGTTTATCATAGAACTACCGATATAGAGGAGTCTTGCATCGACCCAACATCCATGTCGACCTTGCAGAGATAGAGAGTAGGGGGGATGGTTTTATTGACAACCAGCAGGAAAACTGAATAGAAAACGGAAGGTGGTTTTCCTATAGGGCTGAGGATTAGATTGGGAAGCAACAAATGAGAGCGACAGAGGTGGGAGGGAGCGAGCTTTGGGTTTTATATGGAGAGCATTTGATGGCGATGTGTTTTTTAAGCTTCGTGGCTTTTAGCCTCACTGAACAGGAAAAAATAATGCTGTCTTGCTCATCACCACATTTGGATCGTCTGTCTTGAGTAAATTCAAACAACGTCGAGAAAATATTCTTCCACGGTTTTGTGTGGTTGTTGGTGGGCTGAATAGCTGAAGGAGAGAGTCTCTTTCCAGAGGAGTTTGAAGGAGAAGCGGCCACTAGCATATCCACAGCTCTCGTCAGGCTTCCTCTGAGTCCTCTGCTTTTTGTGGAGCGGCATGTCGAAGAACAAACCTATGTAGTGATGAGCTATCGGCTATGAGTCGAGCTTTCACTCCGTGATTCACAACAAAAAAAGAAGCCATGTTTCCTATATGCCTCCCCCACAAACCTCGACGCTTCTCAGGCTGCAACTGGGTCCCCGGAAAGGAACCCACTCAAATTGATGAATGGAACCTGGAGTTCTGGTGCGTCGGCACTGGGTTTCTCATGGTCGGGCCACACAAATTGTTGGATTGGTATCGAAGAATCGAGGCGTCAAAAACCAGAGATGGTTGCTGCTCCTTTTTCTCATCTTTCCGCGCGGTGGAGGGCCATCGGAGGTTAAGTTTGCAATGCAATCAACTGTCATTGCGTTTGGTGTTGTTTATGCTGATATTCGAAATAGAGTCTGATAACAATTTGGTTGAAGACAAAAGAGAGACGATCTCAGTCACAGAGATGAGAAAATTTAAATGCCGGTGGGTTTAGCATCCATATCAACCCTCCGCCCAATTTAAATGCCGGTGGGGGTGGAATTTGGATATTTGGTCACGTGTGTCGCGTTGAAATATTTAGTGTAAATAATTTACTCTAATAATTAAATTATAATAATTATTATCAGTTTTAGAAAACTAATTTACTATAAGAATTTATTAAAGGAATTTTCAGAAAATTAATTCACCAACATTAAACTCATTTTAGAATACTATCATTAAATTATTAAATTACTTAAATTATAATTAAATTGCTTAATCATTTACAAGAACAATAATTATTAAGTTATTCTTCAGATTATATAATTACAGTAATTATTAGTATTTTTTTTAGATTAGTTTTCAATTGTTTTTCAGAAATATATTTTTTAGATATTTATTCAATTATTTTCCAAAAATTGTTTAATTGTGATATTTTATTGCAATACATAATTTTCACAAAATTGTTTTCAAAAAAAAATATTTTTTGTTCTGATTATGTTGTTGGAATATTTAAWTTTCAAAAAATTAATTTCCTTAACATTTAATTAACTCTAATAATTAATTTCCTAAAAATTAAATTTCAAAAATTGTACGGAAAAGACGATGTTATAATAAATATTCTATTAATTAACTGTCACTTTTAGCAATTTTCTACTAATTATTAGTAAATTAACATATATTTTTACTAATAATTTGCCATCAATAAACTCTTAATTATATTTAACTCAATATTCATTAGCAATTTTTAATTAAATTTAATAATTTATCATTGTTAACAGTAATGAATAATTCGTTACTAATTATTGCCAATAGTTAGTTAATCTAAATAAACTTTCTATTAATTAATAACATGTAACATTAATTAACATATAGTCATATACGCATGTCGGGTCGTAACTCGTAAGATATGCAAATGATCCGATCCACGTGTCTCGTGTTCTTGACTTAACTCTAAACATCTTAGGAACACTTTCTTTAATTCTTTAACATACAACATAATAGAAAAAAAAAAAGGAAGAAATAATAAATGAATTAGCTAGTTACAGTTTCGCCATGATCAGAATCAGAGTTTTCTCCTTCTGGTGGCCAGACTGACATGTGGCTGATAATTGAACCATTGGTCGGTGGTGGGTGTTCCATTTCCACCGGCCGAGCACTGGGCTGCGGAGAGAGCACAATTAGTAGTAGGTAGATGTCGGGGCTCCTGCCGTTGTTGCAACCAGTCATCGTAGTCATTTACAAGGCGTGTGTAGCAGAAAGCGGTGGAGTCATCGCCAATCCTGGGTGCGCCGGGAGGATTTCGAGCGTCAGGATGAGACTTGTGATCGGAGGTGATGAGCTTGTAGACGTAAGGGATGAGGCCTTCCATTGCTTCCAACTGGGCTCTGGAGTCTGGAACTTGACTAATTAGCTTTCTTCCTTGATGGGTGTGTGCAGTTTTGTCTGAGTTGGATTATTTATATATGGAAGGGGAACTGGGGAAGGCCCGAAGATTTGAGGAGATGGGATTTCAATGCCGTGGATTTACACTAATGACTAATCTGGTCGTCTGAAATTGGGAGCAACCAATGGGCTTGCCAAACTCTGGTCTTTCTGAGATTTTTCAATACCAGAATCATTGATACCATGAGAATGATCGTTTAAATGGGGCCTACCCATTCAAATCTCTCTCAAATGGGGCCCATTCCTTGATGGTTTTCACTAGATTCTGTTGATGTGGCCCACAGGACTAAGGGAGAATTGGTCTCTTTGTCTGAAAGGGACGCGTTGGGGACTAGCTAGAGTTTGTGTGGCCGTGTCAAAGGAGAAGCCACCCATAAGTTTCCGCACATGTAATGGACAAAACTGGGCACTTTCTGAGGGTTCAGCCCTCCCAGCCCCAAGTTTTGTCCATGTCGTGTGAGTTCAAAAGCAGCCTGACGACCTTTCCAGATTTCCAACCAGGGCTCTTCACCAGCTGAACTGGCCTCGGAGCTGGGGTTTGAACTTTCCGCTCTGTSATATATAACTGCAAGTCGGGCCGGGTTAGGTCGGGTTGAGGCCAACCCTAGTCCAATCTTAAGTTCTAAACCTCAACCCTAACCCTAACCCAACCTGACCTTCAACCCGATCAACCCAACCCAACCTGAAGTCAATTTCGGGTTGGATTGGGCTCGGGCTGGGCCCAACCCAACCTTCTACCCATCCCTTAAAACCTCATAGAATTTCTCGATTTTAGATCTTAACTCAACTTTCACTACATAATCTCATGTTTCATTAGTATTTGTTTGTTGACATTTTTTTTGTTCTTTTGGTACAAATTTTGAAAAACAAGTGTTAGAAATGAATATAGTTTATTATGAGTTATGACTTATGATAGATCTTTCTTGGGCGGAAAACGGCATAGAGGAGATGAAGAATAAAATTTTCAAAAAAACATAAAATAATGTTATTAAGGTTTTAGTCTTTCTGATTAGGATTAAATGAAGTGATTATCTTAAAGGAAATACATGATACTATGTGGTGGGGGCTATACAAATATCATGCATCTAAACAAATCAATGTATATTATATATTACATGTACTATAGAGCCGGGTTCGGGTTGGCTAAAGGGTCAACCCTAACCCAACCCGAAGTAAAGTCGGGATTCATGAATTTAAACCCTAACCCTAACCTGRACATCAACCCAACCCAACCAGACGCAATTTTTTTCGGGTTGGGTTCAGGCCAACCCGGCCCAAGTTACAGCCTTAAACTTATCCAAACTGAACATGCTGCCTAATTCTAGTGTTTTGAAACCATCGTTGGTCCATGTAATGCTGAAATCGGATCGGCCCAAATGCTGTTTGATGATGGGTTGAACGGCTCAACCAGTTCATCTGGATATGGCGAAACAACAAAAACCAGCCAAAACCTGGGACCCTGTCATCCGTCCGGGTCATTGGCTCACAGTCACAGATTCAATTTTTGATAATTTAGCTATTTCAGTAGATAATTTCTCCACTTATAAGTAATAACAATAACTACTACTTTTAACAGGTGATGCCATACATTTCTAGCAGCTTTCAGCTTTCTTAACATGCAAGGAGATGCCCAACATGCGGATATTCATTATTCCTTATGTAATTCCCCATACTGATACAAAGGAAACCCTAGTGATGCCCCAATGAAACACCTCTTTTGATGGGGTTTTTGTTCTATTTTGGATTTTGTGCGTCGAACATAATAGAAAAATAACACAAAGCCAGAACAAAAAACAAGCAGAAAAAAAGTGTTCTTTTTTAAAGAGAAGTCTTTTTTTGCTTTAGAAAAGTTGAAAGAAAGGTGTGTTTTTTAAAGGTTATGTGATTGTGATGCCTTACTGAACCTTGAAGCTCCATTCTTTTCTCTAGCGCGGCTCTTTTGAAAAGCTTTATCAGAACAAAGCAAATTTACCTTTGGAAAAATAAGGAAATGAATGTTAAGGTGTGAATATCAGGAGCATCAAGTGACAAGATTGAAAACCAAATCTACACACCCCACCCCAACTTACAATTTGATTAGTTAGCTTGATCTTGTGTGGTCAAATCAAAATTCAAAAAGCTGTGTTTGGTTGCAATGCAAACAAATTTGCACCGATGCAAAAGCATGGCAGTGCAAATGATTCAAGTGTAAATTCTGACCTATTTTTATTTCAAATTTTAGTTTATTTTGTTTGATTGCAGTACAAATAAAATAAATTAAGACATGAATCAGAATAAAGTAAATCTAAATCAAAATTAAACAAGAATTTGCATTTTTTACATTTGCACTTCCATGCATTTGTACTAGTACAAATGAATTTGCACTGCAACCAAACACAGCCAAAATTACAAAATTGAATGCAAACCCTATTGCTCTTTTTTTAAGGACTGATCCAACCTAAAATAACATGTGACTGGGCATTTGGGATTGGATTCAAAAGTTACGGTCAGATTTTAAAACCGGGCTGGGAGACTTGTGATTTCAGGGACCTCAGTTGGGTAGGGGGATTATCAGGAAAAAAAAAGTTGGAGGTAGGCATAAGCCCTCAACTAAAACAAAGCCCTAAACCTTGCTCCTTCAACGCATTTAGATGCCAACATTAAAGTCTGTCAAACTGACATATAGCAAATTGAACTATTTCAGGATCTCAGACAGACGCAGAGGGAGTCCATTCTTTTGGGCTGCGTATGGTTGGCTCAAACATCAATCTATGCAGAAACTCTCCTTTGACTTATGCAGTTATGTCCTTACTTTGTTGAGAAGTGGGGGTGGGAGTTGAGATTGAGATACTTGAGAATAGAGATCACAGTTTCATATGTTGTACACTCGTATTGTTGTGAATTGTGAATGAATTTGCCCCAAGAAAACCCTTGCCCGGTTGCTTTCCCAACCCATGTGGAAACCACTTTGGGATTTGAGAACCCTAAACGCTCAAAATCAACTACTCCCGCGCTGGGATAAAGCCTAAAACTGTGAATCACAGCCCTCGATTATTGATCTGGCCCTACCTTGAATTGGATGAAGTGACATAAAGTGGGGTCACAACAATGCATGAAAGGCTGTGATTTCACGGCTTTAGCCCAGTGCTAGTCCAAGTAGAGTGGATGATTTCTTCTCACCCTAAACCCTTCCAAGTTCCAACTCTGCAGCCTGCAAAACTCGCTTGTTGTCTATTAGTACCAGCAGAAGGCTCAGCTGATTAAGCCTTGTCAACCCAATTTGACCAAGTTAATTTAAGAAGTATCACAATTATATTGCACAGGATAATAGCTACATGGTACAATCCAAGTGAGATCACATGCCCTGCCGAATGGCAAAACAAAAAAAATGGGGCAAGAGAATACATTATCAAACAAAGAATGGAATTCCTAATCTGCATATTCTAAGTTACAAAAACATGAACCGGCCAAACATATAAATAGACACAAGAAAAGCCATTGTACTGCTTGATATGAATCTGCATGGAACAATCTCTGATGAACAGCTCACACTTAGCTGTCCTGTGTTGATAAATTCATCCTTACCAGAAATTGTGGAGACATTTACAGACAATGAACCTGAAAAGTAAATCTACAACTTAATCAGCATTCTTCATGGAAAACTTGAAGGGCTTGCAATGTCTGTTTAACTTACAGTCATAATTAGCCCATCCAATGCGTTGATTAGCTAGATCATAAACAAAAATTTTATCTCTTAGAACAAGGTCTGCAGAGAAAAAATAAATAAAAGATTAGTTTTCTTCTCTTGGTCAGGCTTACCAAATCACAGCTTTAATAACTCATGTACTAATTGAGGCAAATATACACACAAGATTACTGGTATTGACTTGAGAGAAGAACTTTCTCAGGTATAAAGGTAGGCAAGATCTTTAGGACGAGGATGTTGAGTTGGAATGTTAGGGGCGTGAGAGAAAAGAACAGAAGAGAAGTGGTCAGGATTGTGCTCAGATGCAGTAATCCTGAGACAGTCCTTTTCCAGGAAACAAATTGAAGTCCGGTTTTGGAGCTGCATTCTTTTCACTGTGTGCTCTGGAAGAAAGGAGTTAGAAGTCTGTTTTGAAGGCTAATCCAAAAAGTTAGAGGTGCTAGTGGCATCAGTAGATCACCATGTCTTGGAGGGGGTTATTCTGCTACCTGAGCTTGAAAACATTAGTAGGATAGTTGTGGGGAATTATTGGAGTGTACTGGAATTTCAGAACAGTATCAGTCTTTAGTTTTGTTTTATTGTTGTTGTAGTTGTTGGTCCTGTCGAGGTGTCATCTTGGCATCTTGCCACCTCTTTTTGTATTCCTTTCCTTTTTATTTTAACAAATCTTTTTATTACTCTTCAAAAAATAAAAGATTACTGGTATTGACATTGCATCCGCATCACTCAAAATGCGGTTGCCAATATCATGATTTTGTTTCAGACAGCAGAAATGCTATGCAACAGTTTGACATTTCATAAAAATGAAAGGAAGCATTTCCGATATCCCAAGTAGAAAGGTTTTAGAGAATCTGAAACAATGTAGGAAGTTTAATGATGAAATAAAAGATTATTGGAGAAGTCAGAATTGGCAGAACTAGCTAAACCTCAGAATGGACTTTCAGTCAAATTTTTATTTTTATTTTTTTGATCAATAACCGAAAACTTTTATTAAAGATGTGAAATTTTAAATACAAGAAAGGGGGAGATAAAATGTCTTAGCCTCCCACCATTAGAAAACAAGAAAAGACTTATAAATTAGCCCAAAATAAAGAATCCCTATTCACCCCTTGTTTGGGTAGTCCATCAGCAAGTGAGTTGGCATTTCTTTTCACCCAGCTGTACTTCACCTCAATACCCCTAGTAATCCATTTGAATCTCTTCCTTTCATTGCTAAACCTCCACATGCTACTGTTATCTTCCTTTAGCCATCTAATCACCACCTCTGAATCACCTTCAAGGACCAAACTTCTGATGTTCAGCTTCCTAGCTTTTTGGATTCTTTCCAGAGCTGCAAAGATCTCAGCCCTGAGTGAGTCTCCTCCAATAGGGCCTAAAAACAAAGCTTAAATAAACCCCTCCTCATTCCTGAACACACCCTCAATTCCAGAAGGCCCTGGATTCCCCACACTACAGCCATCAAAATTCAGTTTTATGAATCCAGAAGGTGGGGGAGTCCAAGAGGGGCTAGAAATCCTCTTAATTTGGGCAGTGCTAGCTATCTTTTTCCAGTTTCTCATCGAGTCATCCAGTGAAAAATCTGTGAATAGGTCCACAGATTTCAGCCAGTGGACTACCCTTAAGAGAATCAGTTCTGTTAAGCTCTCTGAGGTTCTTTCCTTGTCTGAAAAAATATGTGAGTTCCTTTCTTCCCATAATGACCAACAAATTGCTGCCTTGATGCATCTCCACAGAATTCTCCCTCTTTTCTTAGGCCAGCTGAAGAAGGAATGAGAAAACAAGCTTTGTACATCCACAAGGAGAACCAAATTACGCCCAAAAAGGGAAAAACCCACTCCCAAATAGTTTTAGCAAAAAGGCAAGTAACCAAAAGGTGGTAGCCCGTTTCCCCATCAACTTTGCAAAGGGAACGCCTATTAGGGGATAAACAAAGATTGGATCTCTTTCTTTGAAGCATGTCATTTGTGTTGATTCTTTCTAAGAAAGTTTCCCAACAAAAACTACCAACCCAAGGAGGAATGGGCTTGCTCCATATCTCGATAACAGGGAAGRGCACCCCAAGAGGAGTAGGAAGCTGAGATAAGGGATCAAAGAACGAGGCACAAGACAAGGTGCCCGAGGGAGAGGGGATCCAAAGTCTGATGTCTTCCTTAGAGGGGTCCAAAAAAACACTTTCAAGAATATTTAACAAGGTCACCAAAGATCCCAAATTTGTATCCCTAATGGCCCTTCTCAAACCCAAGTTCCACCTAAACTCCGAATAAGAGTCTAACGGAACAAGAAAAGAAGAGTTGGGTTCAATCAAATTTTTATCCTGATATAACTTGATTAGTTGTTGTAGATTATCTTTCATTTATAGATAAAATAAGCAAGTTCTTATATATTTTAACAATCGACACTGCTCTCATGGACTATATTCCATGATATTGTAAGGACGGACCAATTATCGTGATTTGCATCTCAAACTACTTAAGATAGACAATAATTGGGATTTCCTTGCAAGCAATGTAGAGAGTGCACATATCTAAAAAGGCCATTATCCGGGTTCGAGTTGGGCCAGGTCTGGGAGAAATGTGGCTGCCTGGGCCCTGAAATTTGCAAGCTAGGCAGGCCAAGCTAGACCATAAACAATCATCCCTAATATGCCATCAACATTATCATCTATGCCTTATCCTAGTTATATGGGGTTAGCTACATGAATTCTATTTTGCCAATCCATTCAATTTAAAGTCATATCTACTTCAAATTATTAGTGCCTAAATCATTTCTTACTACTTCTACCCATGTCCATTTTGATCTACCCCTAGCTCTTCTTGTGTCACTCGTCATTGATCTCCTGATTTTTAGATCTTGGAGGCTATGTAAATGTGAAGTATAACTAAGTTTTTGTTTTTCCTAATTTTGTATTTCATGATTTGTGGTTTGTTGGTAATTCTTCACTTTCTTGGCTTCATGAAATGTCATTATTAAATTCATTTTCAAATGTAACCTGTGTAGTGTGTATGCAAACTCTTTAATACATTGCAATAAATCAGGGCATGACACCATATCCAATAGAGAGAAATAGAAAAGAAATTGCAATGTAGAAAACATTTAAAGGTATCCCAACTATTTATCCATTGCATAGAAGCTTAGGTGCTAAAACCTTCAGAAAGTGGGCATAAGTTATGCAACAACAATATCTAATAAACAACTTTTTACAAATAAGTATTAGGCATGGGTTGGATAGAAGTAAACTACTTGAAAAAAATCTCTGAATACTATTTCTAGATGAGAGATAATGTGCACTCTCATATCGTGAGAGTGAGAGCAGCCACTTTGTGCAAAAGAAAATGCCAAAGCTTAGGAGTTAAGACTATCCAGTCTATCCCTCCCAAAACCACAGATAGCAAGGGCCACCATTGGATAATGGCCATTTTAGATAATATGCACTCTCTACAATGTTTGCAGGGAAATCCCAACTATTGTCTATCTTAAGTAGTTTGAGATGCAATCATGCAAATCACAATAATTAGCCATTACAACATCATGGAATATATAGTCCATGAGAGCAGTGTCAACAACTGTTAACATATATAAGAACTTCCTTTGGTACTTGTCTCCTAATTTTTGTATCTTGTGTAAGGTGAATGGTGAGAATGCTTTCCATCTTTTAATTTCATGTCCCTTTGCTTGTTGTATTTGAGAATGGCTTTGCTCTCTTTTTGGTTGCAGGTGGAGCCCCCTGGTAGCTTGGAAGGTATTTTCAGTCCATCTCTTCTAAGGAGCACAACGAGAAGAGGCAGAATCCTTTGGAAGTGTGTAGTTTGGGGGGAAAGGAACCTAAGGATCTTTGAAGAGAGAGAAAGAAATAAGGAGGCACTAGTGGAGATTGTTACAGTAAGAGTTGCACATTGGGTGAAATTTCTCAGACTTCTCTATGGATGACTTCTTTCGAAACTGGAGGTCAATTGCCCTCTCCTCCTCAAGGAAACAAAAAGGTCTCAGAGACCTAGAGCCCCCCAAGTGATGGGTGGATGAAGCTGAACTTTGATGGAAGTAGCTTCGGCAATCCAAGGCCTTCTAGTATTGGTGGAGTGTTCAGAGATGAGAATGGGAATATGGCTTGTACTCAGGTCCTATTGATCAAGGTGACTCAGCGAGAGCTGAATTCTTGGCTGCTATTGTTGGGGTGCAAAAGGCTAAGGATATGGGAATTACTAGGCTGATTCTTGAAGGGGACTCCAAAATAGTTGTTGGCTGGTTGAAAAAGGAGAAGGGGTTCTATGGCAATTCAGAAATGATCTCAGAAGATTCAAGATGATATCAAGAGATATGCAAATCCATGCAAGATGGGTTAGGAGGTCTGCAAATGGGTTGGCGGATGGTTTGGCGAAGATGGGTTAGGAGGTCTGTAATTTTAATAAATATGTGTAATTTCTTAGTTTTACATGTCATCAAGAATAAAAGTTTAATGGGTGATTACTTTAAGCAGAATAGTGCTTTCATGTAGACATCATGATTATCTATAAAACCTTTTTACAATGAACTTTATGAAAAAGATACAGATACATACATGTCTAGGCATATAAACAAATATATACATAACATATTTACACATAATACATCTAAATATAAACATATAATTGTAGTGTATGTTAGAAACTACAAGGATATGCACACTGTTTATAAATCTAACCAGTACTCATTTACTGCATTTTGGACTAGAGCATACAATGGAGAAACATTTAAGTCAGGATTCAAACCTCCTAAAATGGTCATTCCTTGGTCCTGAACTCTTTGGAAGCCAATACACCACATTTCTGCCCCATCCTGGGAGAAAAGTTAAAAATTTGAATTGAAACCTTTTGGTGGCATAATAGCAAATACTTCATTCATTTAACTACCCAAAAAAACAAAAATGAAAAAAGAATAAAACCATCCCTACGAGTACTCAATATGTATTTTTCATAAAAATCACAAGTTAAAATACTTACAGCATCACCCTGTTTTATGAGGTATTCCACGGGACTTAAGATCATGGACGCACTACCAGCAAAGTTTAAGCTGATAGTAGGGAATATCCCATCAACACTGAATGCAAAGGACATGTGCATTTCAAATATTAAATTAAGGATCTAACAATGAACCTTTTTAAAGTCTAGCATCCATTAAGGTGGGAAGTTGTATTACAATGGTACCTGCTGGTGATTTGATAACATTGATTTCCTTTAGAAAGAACTGAACGAGCAGATTGTGAAACAGCATTATTTATCTGCACAAAAGAAAAATGGAAGAAATAAACTTTAGACATCATGAATATAATTTATTTCACCATTTTCCYTCTCCAACAACAAAAACTAAGTAGTCAGTTGATTAACTTCAATCTTTTACAAATAAAAGGTGTGGGTTTATAATCCTTTCCATTGCCTGCTCCCAAGTGTTTCACATCAATTAAATTGTTAAAAAAATTGTGTTCCTGTAACTTACAGCATTGACAAATGGATCATATGCTTCTGCTGCAAGGTATGCCAAAGTTGTTCCAGAATCTATTATGGTTCCCCTATTGCTTGAAGTAGCAAACACTGCTGGATCAATAGGCAGAATTTGCCCATTGACAGCAATGCTCTGTAAATACAAATTATAATGAGGCCTGAAAGTTTTGAAACAAAAGGAAATCAAACCCAATGCAGAATCAGAATTAAAATGAACCAAATTCGATTTTTCTTATGCGCATAAACAATAATAACAATGAAACTGAAAAAGAGATGATTATTTAAAATAACAAACTTGTCTATCATTGAATGTTTAGCACACAAGGATTGTCATCTTTGATAGGATACCTCATGCAGAATAAATATGTATGAATGCTTTAAGACAAACTGATTTTTAGACAGGAAGAGATGATATGGCATGTTTTAGGAAAGAAATGAAYGAGTGAATGACAAATAGATATGTGGACCAAAGGACATGTGATGGCACAATGACCAGTGTCAAATACCTAGGGCAGAGACATCAAAGTTTTAATTATAATGAGACTTCAACAAAGATTGACACTTAGCCTTATTTCATCACATAGTCATGGATGGATGATTAAACATGTCAAAGAGGAAATTCCATGGATTCACAAAACTAGAGTGAATATATAACTAGTGTGAGAATATTGTAATATCAGTTCTGGAGACCAAGATATGGCTCTATAATTTCTTCTATTACCTTGGTTCAATAATTCATAACAAGGGAGAGATTGAAGCGGATATTGCCCATATAATTAGTTCATCCAAAATGTTGAATGATTGGGGAGTACCACTCAGGATACAAGGAAAGTTTTATAAAATGGCCATAAAGCCGACAGTGTTGTATGGAGCAGAGCATGAAGAAATAAAAAAACATGTCTAAAAAATGAGCATGGAAGTAATATGAATGTTGAAATGGTTAAATGATAAAACTAGAAAAGATAGGACTAGAAATGGACATACTCATGGAAATCTGGGAGTAGCTTCAACAAGTGATAAAATGAGGGGAAAGTATAGTAAGATGGTGATTAAAAACATTGTTAGAGCCAGATGAACAAACTTAAGGAAGAAAACAAGCTTTAACCAAACTAATATAAAGATCCATATGATAAAGGCAAAGTTATGATATAAATGAAATAGAATCAAAGGAAGTAAACAAGCTTTTTTTTTATCAATAACTATAATTCATTAGATTAAAAGAATTTAGTTTCAGTGCTCCAGAGAGAGATAAACAGGCTTATCTCTCTCTAGGAAGATAACAAARAAAGTAAAAAGTTACAGAACAGCCCAAAACACTTGATCCCTTCCCACCCCCTACTTTGCCAAAGCATCAGAAAGTGCATTTTCTATTCTCTTGACACACTGAAACTTGATTTCCAGTCCTCTAATTAGCCATTTAATCTCCCTCCTCATTAGCAAATTTCCAAAGTCCACCACCTTCTTGTAACCAACTTAAGACCATCTTTGAGTCCCTTTCAATGACTAGCTTTTGTATATTCAGTTCCTTAGACTTCCTTATACCTTCCAGGACTGCATAGACCTCAGCTTTAAGAGAGTCTCCAACCCCAATGGGACCTTAATACAAAGCGAGCACCTTCCCATCCTCATCTCTAAAAACCCCTCCTACGCCTGATGGACCTGGATTTCCCTCACTACTTCCATCAAAGTTTAGATTTATAAGTCCACATCCTGGTGGTGACCACAAAGGACAAACTAAAGAGCAGGCACGATCAGAATTCACCACCTCCAGCCAGCTATTCAACAACATATCCATAGAAATATCACTATTTCAATAAGACTTTCTCTACTTCTTTCAACTTCAGAAAAAATTCTGGTGTTCCTTTCCTCCCAAAGAGTCTAGCAAACAGCAGTCCCCAAAGAGGCCGAAAGGGGAAGGAAGCAAACAAGCTTTAACTAGATAGTTCTATAGGTAAGTAAAGATCATTGACTACTAGGGTTCTAATTTCTTTTCTCTCCTTGAAGCATAGACTTCCAAAGGCAGTGCAAGTGGACAAACTCCGTATTTTTAAGAATTAAAACACTATTTGTTTATCTGATTATCAACATCCAACCACTAAAATTTATACATGTGTTTCAGAATAAAGAAAATGTCCTTTGCAGATAAAAACAGGGAAAAATGCAAGTGTTTCCAATACGTCCATTCACAACTTTTTATGGTACTAATAATACAAAAAACAAACTTGAGATTAGAAAGGAGATTGTAATGATTAGGCCTTGTTTGGTTTGCGGGATGGGGATGGGGATGGGAAAAGAGGAGTATTCCTAAATGATTCATTTTCCCATGTTTGATTGTTGGGATACAATGATTTGGGATGAGAAAAGGGTGAGACGCAGAATCCCAAAAACAAGTGGGCGGGATTCCACCAAAATAGCGTGACCCGGTGAGAAAGGAAAAAAGTGAGACGTGTCTAAGAAAGATTATCAGGCTTTGTTAGACTTGGAACTAAAGAGTCTCTTCTCCCTTCAGCCCAGCCTCCCAACGATCATATCTTCGACGACTTTTCTAGTGATCTCGTCATCTTGAGCAAAGGTGAGACCAGATATGGAATTCTCTTGCAACAATGAGCCATTTCCACTATTTTTTTTATATATTTTGATGCATATGAAGGTATTCCCCATTGTTGCGACAGTCTCTGCAATGACCGAACCTCCTATCATCTTCCTCACTAGTTCCGACAAGGAGAAACTTCATTCTCCTTGTGTAGTCGAGACTTGCATTTTTTTCTTTTTCTTGTGTTATTATTCTTTCTGGATAAGCATATTTGAGTGTAGGAACAACCAAAGTTGACTGTTGTTTACTGTTTTCCAAAACAGCAAGAGACTTGCCACCATTTCCACCTCTCGAAGAGAACAATACAGCTCCTTTCCCCAAACCAACCTCAGATCCACTAGCCCATAGACAATCCATTTTCCAGAACCATCAATAGCGTCAGAGAATCCCCTCTTAGCCGTGACCCAGAAACAAAATTTTTCAATATGCCAAGTGAGTAGTCGTTCTTATTCTCCATGGTCCTTCGCAAGAGGGAAACTCCAACCCCAACATCAGCCTTCCTCTCAAGAGACTCAGAACCAGGCAACCCAAGTCTTAGCTCAGTCTCTTTGAGGTTAAGTGCATTTTTCTTTTCCTTCTCTCTGATAGAAACAGTGGAGGAGGAAGAAGAAATCTTCTCAGAGCCTTCCATGGAAGAAACCTCTGATAAGCCTATTTTATCATGTGCTAAGGGCTTAGACATTAAACTTCAACAGCAAAGGCACTTGAGAGAAAAAACCAGGAGCATAAAAGGAATATGCACAAGAAGAAGAGAAGAAGAGATTATTTGAACCAGAGTTGAGAGATCAGAGTTCATGTATTCTTATTCTAACCTGTTTTCTATTCTTCTGAAATGAGTCGATTGTATTCTGAAATGTGTATTGGGGTTTTCTTTTAGTTTAGTTTTCTATAGAAAGAGGTATTGATATTGTTGCTTATAGAAGTTGTTTCATTAATTTGTTTAGGCATTAGAAATTGACTTTTGTTTTACTTTGCTTTCTCAGATTTTTACATATGTTTTTATGTGATCTATAAATATCGATTACTCTCAATAAATGCTTATTTTCTAGTTGGAAACCTGCATCTCTGAGTTGGGATGATTATCTACTATTTGACTCGCATATCGTTTTGCTACTGCTATTACACCAAATGGTCTGTGATAATTGATGAGAGACAAGAATTGTTTGTATTTACCCTCTAAACAAAATAATTCTGTCCCCCAAAAGAGAGAATAGAAAGAAAGAAAAGGAAAAAAGAATACTGGCAGTAAGTAGCAAGATAAAACTCTTAGGAGATGTTTGAGAATTGTTGGATTGGCTGAACTGAAATCAACTTTTTTTATAGTGAATTTAACAGTCATTTAATGGAATATTTAGGAGTAATAAGGTTACCCCATCAAACCATTAACTTGGTAGAGCCACTTCAGTTTAAGTTATGTTCAGTTCTATACCACAGGCATAACAGTCAAATGCTTGTTTATGTTCTATTTTGTATAGATCCATCCTAACTTACATGGGGTGGACTGGCAGATTAGACACTCTACACATAACCTCTACTTGTAAAGGTTGACTGGGAGAGGGAGACCAACTTTTTCTTTCCATAGGATCACATTCAAACTTTCTCTTCTTCTGCTGCACACACTTCAAGACCACCATATCCTGATTTCAGAATACTTCTCAAACACAGTGCTTCTCTTCTATATGAATATTCAATTCCAATATAGTTTGACTCTTTTCACAAGAAAAAAAAAAAGAAAAAAGAAAATGTTTTATGTGATTCTAACTTCATATTTGAATAAACTGCATTGCTTTAGTAAGACATTCCTGAATCATTTCAGGAACCTTTCTACATCAAAAGATCTTAATTATGCAGCTTCATGTGTTTGCACACATGCCCATTAGGAAAAAATGTGACATATGTTCGTTAAGTGGTTCTTTCCAGTTCATGGATTTGCATGGCTTCAGCATATGTTAATTTAAAATGGCATACCTGGTTGCCTACTTAGAATAGGCCCTCTTTTTCATTTTGCTCTGTTTTTAGAAGGAAAATGTAGGTAAGCTTTTAGTTTTTTTTTATCATGTTCTTTCTAATTTTCTCATTAATCCATCCCAACATTTGTGCTTCCACTACCATCATTTTTAGAGTTGAATATTTGAAAACAAAATAGCAAAAAAATAAAGTTGCTGCCTTGCAGTATTATACAGTAACCATAGATTTTACAGAGGCTGGCTGGGTTGGATGGATCTACTGAAATGGTTGGAAAAGAAAAAGACATGAGGCGGTAAGAGAAGAATAACCACCTCTTGATAATTATATGGTCTATTTTACTCGGATTTGACTTTCAACATAACTTTAAGAATTGAATTCAAACATAACCACCTCTTGATTTTTTGAGAGTTAATGACAATATAATCACCTCTTTATATGTTTGCTATGTTTCTTGTGTTACAGGAAGAGTTGGCATTATAGAGCAATGAAGGCCGCAAACATGTAGTAGAAATCTATGACAAACCTGCAACAAACTCATGGACTATGTGTTGATTTCTTGAATTCAATTTTTCTCATTTGGGCTTAGGTGTTATTTCTTTCTCTCAAACAAGATTATGTACTCTTATTAGCAGGTTTTGGGATGTATTTTTGAAGATATCGAACCTCAAACTTCTAAGTTTATAGTAACAATAGCCAATGGTGTTCTCTGTTTTGTGTGGTTAATGCATATAAAAATTATATCTATTGTCCATCAAATGATCAAATCCAGGTCTGTGGGTGTATTGCATCAATTCTTCTGTGTTTATGTATGCTGCCTTATATAGCCAAGCCCAGTTTGGCATGAGTATTTCTATATAGTTTCTGGTGCACGTATGAAGATTAAGGTTGATAAGTTGTCTGTAATTTCCTTCCAGAACTTCAAGTTAAATATCATGTGAACAGTATGGACCACCCCTGCATTTGTTGGTTGTGTTCAGACCTGTAAAATGATGAACCACCCTGCAGTCATCCAACAATCTAGGAAGCTAAATATCATGTGAACAGTACTGGACATGGATGCATATCTTTTATGCAAGAAATTGAAATTACACCTGCAGATTTATCTGCCATAAATTTGGCACATAGGAAGGTCAGGTCTATGTAGTTACTTGGTAGCATTGTGAAATGTGCTTGCAAAATAGTTAATTAAACTAATCAGAAGTTTACAACTGGAGGACAAACTTCTCTCATTTGTACTTAGCTTTTATCCTTTTTTTCTCTCAAAAGATTTTATACTCTTCTCAACAAGCTTCTCTCATTTGTACTTAGCCTTTATCATTTTGGTTAAGTAATGCCAAAGAGATTTATTTATAGCCAGTTTTGTTCTTTTTTTAATTACATATAAAGCTGGACGTGCCCATGCAACAATGTGCTCATGCTAACTGAAACCTTAACTCTGAACTAAAGACACTAATCAGAGAGAGAGAGAGAGAGAGAGAGAACCAAAGCAACAAGAGCTCAATGGCTTATTAGTGTGAAGCCCAACATGCCAGACCCAACTTCTGAAAAAGCTTAATAAGGCTAAGTCAGTCTATGTTAATTACTTATCTTACTTATAGTCAATTTGGCATATGGCAAAGATGATTATGTTAACAGAGAGAGAAAGAGTTCTACAAGCATGAAAATCTTAAAACAAGAAGGCAAACTAGGGGGAAAACATAGAATGTTGCAAAAAAATCATGTCCACCTCTAATTACTTTCCTACAAAACAAACATGGGAAAATGAATTTTCCTTTGTATAACCAAAGGATGGAAAGTGAAATTTGCACACTTTCTCATCCCATCCCACCCAAATTTTTCCACAAACCAAACAGAGCCTTATGGTACTAATAGTCTAATAATACAGAAAACAAACTTGGGATCAGAAAGGAGGCTGTAATGATTAGGCTGCATGAAAAGAAAAAAAAAATGACAAATAAAAGATAATAGCTCAAAGAAGAGGACTTACTGATTTGGAACAAGAGGACTATAAACAATATTTGGCTCCACAATCCCACCAAAAACCAATATACCTCCACCACTATTAGCTCCTATCAAGCAATGAGAAAACACCTTTGGTGCAACTCCTCGTGAGGACAGTTGTGAAATGACAGAGAGTTCGTGCTGCCCAAACCCAAAAATCCCATCAACTGCCCTGTCCGGCTTGGTCAAGTCTCCGGACTGATAGTTGCTACATCTGTCTCAAGCACAAATCTCAATCATGTAAGTTCCTAAAAACATAATACCATCCCCATCACCCAAGCCGTACAAAAGAACATATCTACACATAATGCCTACCCAAAAACTATGGTAGCCGAAGAGTTTGCAACCAAAGACTTCCCAAGAACTGTGTCAAAGAAGAACATATCTTGTACATAATAACCCGATGTCCCACTTCCATCACCATACTGAAAGGAGTAACCACACTGGGAATTCTGAGCAGTGCAACCACCATCTAAAGTTTGAACCGCCAAATTACATATTTCATCTGAACAAGATACTAGAGAAGCCGTGGATGAGGCGGCAGCATCAAAGAAATTCATAGCAATCTGCAAAAATGTAACAGTCTTGGTCATCTACAAAAATGTCAATGGAATTGAAAGAAGAGGAAGGAGGTGGAAACAATAAAGAAAGAAAGAAAGAAAGCAAGCTTTACATTCAGGCCGCTATATTTGGGGCAACCACTGCACGCATTGCAGGTGACCCACAAAACATCACTTCCGGTGTCAATTTGAACATAGAATTCTTTTGGAGGAGTCCCCAATTTCACTCTCGTAAAATAGAGTCTGGTTCAAAGAAAGAAAATGTGTCAAAACCATTACAATAAAATATTAGAAACAAAGAAAAAGAAAAGGACTTGCGCTGTTGCACACCCATAAATCCCCACCCAATAGAGTTTTAAAGAGATCAAAAGCAGGAAAAAATAAACAAATAGAGAAGAAGAATCAACAACTTTGAAAACCCATCTATGAATTACATCAAAAGCATCAAAAGAGAAAGAACAGTAGACCCACATAGCTGTGAATTTACAAAACTAAAGATCCTCAGAACATCAGCGATCACCAAATCCAGAACTCATTAAACAAAGAAAAGGAAAACAAAAAAGAAACAAAGAACATCAAAAAGCCTATCAATATAAATTATAAAATAACCAGTAGGTAAAAGAAGAACAGAAACAAATTCCAGCCGAAAAGAGAAAATTAAGGAGCAAAATAAAACGAATTCAATGAACAAGACCCGGAAGCCAAACGCCATCCTCAATTAAACCCAGAGCTTAAAAAATCAACCACGGACCAAAAAACAGAAAAAATTACCCGACGGTGTAAGGATTGTAGGTACCCTCGACGGGAAAATCGACGATCCCACCCTGCAAGATTCGGCGGTGCCTTACCCTGTCTCGAGCTCTAAACTCACTCAGCTCAACTCTCTGGTCCACCGGAAAGGCTCTTTCGAGCTTCAGGCTCTTCGGAAATCCACAATACACCACCGCCGGTAAGAAGACGGCGCCCAAAACCAAGATCAGAAATCCGGCATGACGAAACGCCGGCATTTCCAATTGATTTGCTTCTCACCCTCTCCTCTATCTCACTCCCTACAACAACAAAAAAAAAAACGGATGTTTATTGTAAACCCATACAATTCAGAAGCGAAGATGGAGGTCTGTGTCTTTCTGTATCACTGAAAGCTCAGAAAGAGAAGAAAAGTGTAGAGCTCGCATCGTCGGAAATACATTTAAAATCAGATATGCCATACATTTAAAATTAACGGAGTCCGGACTGTTAACGGCAGTCTGGACTCCAAAGAGTGAGAGAGAAAGAGAGAGAAAGCAAGAAACAGGTTAGAGAGTTAAGTTACCCAAGATCCAAAGCAGAGAGAAAGCAAGAAGAGAATAAAAAGACTGTTCGACGAGACGACGACAACAGCCACAACAGAGGATTCAAAATCAGATTACGTTACTCTGTAAATATATATGTTTTCTTCCTTACTTCCACCTTCTAAGCCTCTAAACCTCTCTAAAGTCTAAACTACGATGAGTGCGTACAACGCACTCCTCAGTCCTCTCACTCCTCACACTGGTTTCAGGTCAGGATGGTAACAGCCCGTAGGCCCCCCCAGTTCACTGGCCATGTATCCATTTTTATCCAATTTTTAAGATACACAGAATCATTCCTTCCTTCGAATCCAACGGTTGATATTCTCGCGCTCAAATGATGTCTGCCTCACCACGCACGAGGCTCTTTTATCTGTAAAAACGACCGACAGGGCAACAGGCTTACGATACTTCCGGCACCGCGCATCTTAACACCTTTCTGTTTATTCAGCTTACACGTGGCCCAAGAGCTTTGAAATTACCAAATTGACCCTCTTGGACCACACGACAGGGACACGTGTAGAATTCTTTGTACATTTAAAGAGAATCTTCTTTAACAATTATTTCACTAGTTTTGGCCCTCTTTTTTTTTTTTTGCATCAAAAGATTCAAAACGCTGTCTCACGTGCGGCGATAGCTGATGACCATTGGATTGGAATAATTTGGTGGATCCAGTCCAACCGGCTGTTCCAATCCGACGGTGGACAGAGGCTGTCTCGCGTGAGGGTGATCCCGTGAAACCATTGCTTCTTTAGAGAAGCACATTGAGCAACGTGAAAAGGCAAAGCAGAGCAGTTCAGACTTCAGACGCTTTGGCACTTTGCCCTTCTGTCTTTTTCTAATGACCAATGAGCCCCTGCCTTTTTTCAGAACTGCAGGTACGGACGCAAGCGTAGAGACGAGACGCAAGGGACACGTGTAGCATTTTCTCAATTAACGTGTGCATGTTGGTAATCTTGGACGTAGGCGGAAAGACGACGAAGACGGGACTTGATCTTTCAGACGGACGAATTTGACCGGAAGCAGCCTCAACGACGCGCGGGGACGGGGAGAAACATGCGCAGTACGCCAACCTCTTCACCGTGCAGTGCACTGCATCATGATAGAAAAAAAAAAAAAGCTGTTTTCCATCACCCACTTCACTAATGGTGATTTGTACGCCCAAACAGCTCTTTAAAAAAATAAGGTTATAATAAGCTTTCTTTTTCGACATTCCCAGCTTCTTTCCGAAGAACAAAATTCTCTTCTGGGCATGACATGCTTAATGCTTTCCCAATTCCCAGATTAGAAAATTCAAAATTTTTAAATGGTTTGGTGTTCTCTCTTCCTCTTTAATGGTCCATTCCAAGCATGAGAATAATTCACTACTGGCCCAAGCCCAACTGCAACTGGGGATGGGAGCTTCTCAGTTCTCAAATTTTCTTCTTGAGGTGTGACACGTGGCAAGCATATGGGATGTGTGGGACCCATCAATCAGTGGGCTGTGATTCCAAATTGGGAGCAAATTAATTAATTAATAAGCTTTGACCATGTGGGTCTAAGGTTTGTAACCGTTTACAGGTAGTCTGGCTTCTTGGGAGGTTAAAAAGTCAAAGTCTTGGGGGAGATTGACTTGGTGGAGTCGTGGAGTGGAGTCATTCTCTTAAAAGCCGGCGGCAGATTGTATGAGTCACATTTCACGCGCAAATGCTCAAGAAATTTTCCAGGTGTGTCCCGGAATCTTCCAAGTCATGATATGACGACTTCCTGGCTTAAAGCCTTAATCAACTTGCCACGTCAAAATAGGATAAAAAATTATCACTAATGAGTAATGACGCAAAGAATTTGGTAAATCACAAGCAGAGTTCCCACTCCAACGTCCCCTCCCCACGTCCCTAGCCAGTGATTGATAATACCTGAGTGGTTGAGATGGTCGGTCAGAGTCCCCACTCTTGAATCCGATGTTATGTGTAATCAAAAGGACTTCGGATCTACTATTCAGAACATTGTTATCCACTCTACCTTCAACACATAACAGCCGTATATCAAGAATATATTTCCATGAATAAGATATATAAGTATAAAAGATATTCCCAATATACGGTTTGTATGGAATTATGTAGGTAGCTGAGCATTTGTATAGACTCTCCCTGCACGATGCTTTATTTATATAAACCCCGTCTAAAAAGCGGATGAATTGCTTTTGATGGTTGTGTTGCTCACTTGTTTTATGAGTAAAAATGTCCACACTAGCCATCACATGAAATGAGAGATTGAGTAGAATTTGGTGGAAAACGTCTCCGGCTGTTTTGAAGCTTCATGTGCACAATAAATTATTAATGAAAGTAGGGTAAAATAGTAATTGTAATTAGTAATTTTTAATTAAAAAAAATGGGCCTTGGCACAACGGTTGGATAACTTGGATTGGTTCATTGTTGTGACTTGGGTGATTAGGGTTTATATCCTTAAAACAATATATTTGTATGTGCATAGGTAAGGCTGCATAAATCTATTCCTCCCTAAACCTGCATTAGCGGGGCTGTCCTTTTACTGATATATACCCCACAACCACTCCAATTTAGGGTTGTAATCAAATCGGACTCGGGTTGTATTAGGGGCTGTTTAAGTAATACTAACGGGCCATTTAATTTTCCCACACATATGAGTAGAGTGCCCATATAAAATATGGCTACTCCTATCTATTCAAAGTGTAACACAACGTACACGAAAGCAAGTGCAGAAATCCCAGCCTCCGGTTAGACCTGGCAAAGTTGACCCAATTCGAAAAAATAGGATTAGGGTCTTTTATTTAGCTACCTGAATGCGAGATTGACCTGACCCGACCCAATTCAACCTGGAAAAAACTGTGTTGGGTTGAGTTGGGTTGGGTCATGGGTTAATCTGTTGACTAGATTGTCAAGATTAATTGGGACTATTTATGTATTGTTAAAAGTTTTCATTCTTTAATTTTTCTATTTAGTCTTTACCCTTTATTGTTTACTCTATAAATTGTTAAATGATCAAGTTTTTTTTATTTTATATTTGAAATCTTAAGGTTATTTCCTTTAATTTTGATATTTTTATGTAGTTTTTTCTTTAGTTTTTTTAACTTTTAGTTATTTTTTGGGATGACCCAAATTGGCCCATGGGTCAATCCTAACCCGAACATTTAGGATTAGGGTCTAGCATTTGATAACCCAATCCGAAATTCAACCTAACCTGAAATCAACCCGAAGTGTCTTGACCCAACCCACCCAACCCAATTGCCAGGTCTCCAGCCATCATATGCAGTTAATCCGGGCTCAAAAAGCTCCCTAACCAGTTCACTGTTTTTTTTTTTTTTTCTTTTTTGAGCTTAGTGTTCTAAATATATATAAAGTGTATAGACTCTCCACCACTCAACATCTAAAGTTTAAGTTTTCAAATAGAATTGTTTAGAATTTGTTAATCTTTTATTTTGGAAATCTATAATTTGTTAATCTGAATATAAAATGCACTAACCTTTTCCCTTTATTTATTTATTGCATAGTAGTAGGTAATACCCACCACTATTTTCTTATAAACCAAATCAAATTTCCGCACGCCAACTTGTCAATGTGATTTTTCCAAATTCAAATAAAATTATAAACACAAAATAGCTTCTTGTAACGGGGTTTGCTTGGATTACCAAAAGACCTAGTAGTAGAAGTAGAGTACGTGGCCTTGGCATATATCCTTTACCTACTTATGCTGACCCTTTCATTTCTTACAGAACAAGAGTACACTTGATCCTGAAAACAAGACAAGTTTCTACAAAATAGGATGTATATAAAATACTGATCGTTAGGAGCCATAAGATATGTATGGATTTACTTAATCCAAAGAAACACGCAAATTCATCCACGTTTATGGCTGAACTGCATCACTTTCAGGCTGATGTGGCCACTGACCTAGAGGTAGAAAAATAATCTCTGAGGACTGACCTAATTGGGTCCAAGGTTCGAAATATTTCTATTCAAAGCTTGAACCCGAAACATGAGTATTGTATCTTTTTTTAGCCCAATTTTTACTCAAACGGAGTAGTGTTAGAGAGTGAAAAACCTATTCAGCATCTCACCTAATAATTAAGGTTTTAGGTTGAGCAATTTCTTGAAATGGCATTAGAGTTTATTAATTTGACCAAATGGTCTAATGTTTGATTCTCACTATACTCTTATTATAAATTATTAAATTTCGGCACAAGGTGTAAGTGGGTGTTCGAGTGGTATCTGAACTAGTTTAGGATGTCACGTGGCAAGTTCCATGGCTGCCCTCCTCGAACCACATCCACACTATAATTTGTAACCATGTGACGGAAGAGCATGCCAAGGATGTAGAAATCTACATGAATAAGGAGACACACCCCGTCAAGGAAGAGGCATCCTTTCTGATGCCTTAGAAGGCAATCTCATCTCGATAATTCTGAAAGCCTTATCTGACTACAATATGAATGTTCGGTTAATATAGGCATCTTCCTCTCAAGCATGGTTTTTAAAACCRAATCAGTCAGGAGTCCAATTATCGGTTTGAACGGTTGGCCCGTTTTGACAAAAAAATAAAAGAATTAAAAATAAATAAAAAATGGTCAAAACTGTTCGACCGAACGGTTAATCGGAYAATTCAGCAGTTTACTGATCAAAATCAACGGTTTTGGGGAAAAAAGCAATTTTGGGGGAAAACGGAACCGGCTAGGTGACCGGTTTCTGGTCCGGTCCGGTCCAGTTTTGAAAACCATGCTCTCAAGGTAAGGAATTTTTGGCTCCCAACTCACTTAGCACCCTTTCCTGTTACCACCTCAGTTCAGACCAACGTCATTCTACCCTTTCGTCCTGACCGACCCCATTTTCTTATTGACTTGAGCATTAGAATGCTTACCTGGGGAATAATTCCTTAGACCTTTGACCCTTTTTGTGGTTGCAGATTTCTTTGATGTACAACCTCATCCTTCCACCTTAACTTCGTCTAATTGCGTCCTCAATTCGGGCCATCTCAAATCGAACAACATCAGTGAACTTATACTCATCCACACATTAAACCTAATACGCTTTCACATGGAGGAACATGTCAAAAAATAAAAAACTATCAAGAAATCATTCAACCTAAAAACTTAATTTATTAGGTGAATTCTCTAAATATGTTTTTATTCTCTACCACATAGCAACCATGAAATTTTATACTACAAGATAGAATGTAACCCACTTTGCCCCATA